ATACTCATACATCATATTCTGTTGTATGTGAAAATTTATAAAGAATAATACCAGATGTAAAACCATAAAAATTAATTCCAAAATAATCAAGATAAAATGAACGTAAATGATCAGCTAATGTTCTTGAATGTAATAAATGTGCTTGAGCTGAACATAAAAGCATAATACATGCACCAATACAATTATAAATAATATAGATACAAAGTATTGTTGAATAGGAATGAATTGATAATTGAGAAATATGTTGAAAGATTTGTCCAATAAGAACAAATGCACCAAGTAAATGAATCCATACAGATAATGTTTCATTATGTAATGAAAAAAGTGAACGATAATAATATGAATAGGGTTGATTTGGTAAACGAAAACCCGAATGTATAAATGGTTCGACATAAATGTCAAGAACATCACCAGAACGTAACAACATCTTTTTTGTTTCTATTATTAATTAAAAATAAAGACATATAGATGCGCCATAAAAACCTCTAAAGTTTTTCATTTCTTTCATCTATTATAGACATAAAATTGCAATTAGATATGAAGAAAGAAAAAAACACCCCCAATCGATTTCTGTCGTCTATATGATACATTTCATTGCATGATCGCTTGATTGATTGTGATTTATCAAGGAGAAAAAGAAAAAACATCACTACTAACACATTGTTACTCATACACGAAAAAATTATTTACACATTTTTTATTAAACGCAAGAAAATATTTTTTATATAACATGGCTAACCAACTGTGATAGTTCTTTTGTCTAATATTTGCATAATATCATGTTCAATCCTGTCTACGTTTCCTCAAGCCTATGACTACTGATGTTTTTCCTCCAAAAAAAGAAAAAAAGTCAATATTGTATCTAGACTCAATTTATTCTATCGCCCTTAAATACAAATATATTTTATATTTTATATAGGAACTATTAAGTAACGAATGAGTTAGATAGAGACCCTACTAAAATATGTTTATACTACTTTACTTGTACTTATTTATCGTTCGTCAACAACAATAATATGTTCAAATATTCGCTACTGTTAGATTGACAATAATTATTACTATTACATTGAATTGACACGCATATATGATAGAACGAAAGAGAGAAAAAGAAATGTCCTAGTGACATTAGAAGCAAAAAATAAAAATAATAGAATCATTGTCAAAACAAAAAGAAACTAGAGATAATGAAATACAGTGTATCTCATAAATAATACTTCTTCGATAAGATATTTAAATATTTCTACTTTATTTTAATCAAATCAACTGATTTTTTTGTACTGATAATATAAGTAAATAGTACTATTAAGTGGTTATGGGCTGGTTTCCTGAGAGAAAGTTTTACCTGTTGCCAAATAAGAAAAGTGTCAGTTGTTACCTAAGAAAATGCGATATTAACATACATAAAGAAAATTCTCGAAACTAATTAGTTTAAAAGTTAACAGATGCAATATTTTTCATTTTTTAACGAACTTATTAACACGATACTTGAAGAGTTTCAATGACACTTTATAGTTATCGAGAACGAATTTTTGGTATTTAAACTAATTAGTTTATGTATCTGTATATTGCATCATACATCAAATTTACTTGTTAATTCCATCTTACTATTCTCTTAGATAACAAGTAAAATATTTCATATATTTGGCAACAGGTAAATTTTCTTTTATAAAAACTAACCTTAACCACTTAATAGGAGTATTTACTTATGTTATCAGTATGAAAAAAAATAAATTTTTGAATAAAATTCTACCATTAATAAAAAAAATCAGGTGATTTCATTCAAGAGTGAAGTGGTGGGGTGATATTTAAATGTCTTATCGGAGTGTTATTTATGAGATGCCTTGTACTCTATTATATTACCTTACCTTAAAGAAAACATTAAAATGTAATTGTAATAAATATTTTGTTTTGAATTATTTTTATCATCGTTCTTTTTCTATATGTTACCTCTTGTTCTTTTAAATCATATGACATATGTTTCATTTATTTAAAAGCTTTTTTCCTTCTAATCAAATATTTAAATATTGAAAAAAAGTTCTATTCAAACATATATATATATATATATATGAACTTCTTTTAAATAATAGAATTAACATACTTTCGTTTCGTGTCAATAAAACCGGATGATACTAATAGAAGAATTAATCCAATAAAATAGATACAGTTCCGTTTGACATAGACAGATAAAAATAAAAATTAATTATATAAGATATCGGTAGTTTACCAAAAAAAGATAATTATCTAAAAATAAGAAAATAGATTTCTTTCACTAATACAACAATCATTCAATGCTGTAAACGTGCTACATTTTTTTTGGACCATTTACATCCTATAAATTCTGATCGCTCTATGTTAATTAAAGCATTGTTATTCAAATAGATCCATCTAATTGAAAATAAAGACATTTGTTGATTTAATGATTAAAAATTCATGAAATACATGCCTTTTTCTATTATATAGTTTAATCTCGTCAAGTAAATTTATTTGTAGTTTAAATTTTCGAGATAAATCAAAACATATTTTTCTAGAAATTCAATTTATCAACATCATCTAATCGTATATTATTATTCTGACAACGAAGAATTAATGATTCCCATTTCATGAATATCGGATGAGAAGAGTGCAGCGCGGAAATAGTTAAAATACATGATTTATTAAGCAAAATCAAAATACATATATTTTTTCTAATCGGTTTTCTAAGATAAATAAAATATTGCATGCTTGGAAGTAACAATTTATAATTTGAAGTAGCATCATTTGAATATAATGATTAGAAGAAAAAAACGGTAAAAGATCATACTTAACAGACTTGAATAAAGATAAAAACAACCATTGAGTTATGTAAAACTCTTTTATATTTGTATTCATATCATCTTCATGTTTTACATAAATGAAGCGTAGCTGAACCTAGATTGTCATAGTCACTTAAACTTACTATACTCATTAGCATCAAGTACAACTAACTACCGTATCTTTCTTGAGATAAGATACTTTTTCTACGTTATATAACTTCAATTAGAATATTATTATAATTAAATCGGTTCATTAACTTATTCCTCTACAATTAATAAAAAGATTCATCTATTCAAAATATTCATCAAATGACATATACAAATTCTGCCAAGCGTAAATTCTCCTCCAACTCATATTTCTCGATGTAATTATCCAAACACTTAAGTAGTTTGACTTTTTTTAATTTGCAAAATATAAATAATCTTTTAGTATATTTTATATCACGAACGTCAACACATATCATTAAGTTTTCTATTAGAGTGGAAAATTTTCTCTATCTAGGTCAGAATATTAATTGATTGATTTTCTATGATATTTTTCATGTCTGGTAAGTGAACATATACATAAATATTAAACTAAAAAAACATCTGCTTTTGCTTATATAGATTCACTCTATGAATTTTGTGAATAATACTGACTTTTCTATTGTAATATCAGTTAGTCTCGATTGGCAAGATTGTGAATAAATAAATAATAATAACATACTAGAAGATATTTAAATAGAAAAGAACAGCGTTAATACAAGAAAATTATCTTAATCATAACGTCTGTCAATAATAATGATAAGAAATGACATGTCGATTTCTAAGAACATCTATGCTTTATTTCATTTATTATAAACATGACAATCTAAGTCTCTCCAAATTTAGGTTTTCTATATAGAAAAAAGGAAGTTAATATAATAGACAAGAAACAACTTGACTTTTTCAAGAAATATATTATTTGACAAACAAAATGATTTAGATCTATTAGAAACTATCAGAGATTGACTTGTCGAAAATTCTATTATATATTCATTAATATAACTATCTCATACACAGAGAAAATATTCATTTTATTTTGTTTATCATTATTTTTTTAATCTAAAAGAAAAAAGGTATGAAAAATTCAACCTTGAATATTAGTTTTTTAATTTGTCTAAAACAGATTCTATTATTTTATATTATAAATTATAATTAAGAAAATATAAGGAAACATGTTCAAGAACTAATAGAGTAAAACTGAAATAGTTATAACTTTTAGTATCATTTAGAAATAATTATATATAAGACAAGAGATTTTTCGCGTAGAAATATCATTATGACATATTGAGGGCAAATGAATATACATTAATTAGATAAATGTTTCTATACGACCTACGTACTTAGATTGAATCTATTCGCAATTATTATATTAGAAATATTCGATCAAACTTATTCAGATCATCGATACAATTAGAAGATTCAGAGTTTTGTATGTATCAAACAAAAATCAGACTTTACTTTGGAGTATTTTTAAAAAATAAAAAATCTCTATTTTTTATTATTTGTAGAGAAAATAATTAAGTTCTAATCCTTCAATTTAATTGTAACAATCTTATTAATATAAGATAAAATTTGCGTCATTCATTCCATTTTTAGAATTTTTTCACGTAACAATCCAAGGTTTTTACAGACGCAATTCATTCGTTAAATCGGATATGTAAATAGAATTTTACAAGAGAAAATAATTATTTCAAATACATGTAAGATACTATCCTTTCCCGAGAAAAGGAAATGACTTAGTGTGAAAATACTTATTCTCATTGCAATTAATTTTCTCATTCTTTTTTTTTCCAAGTGAGAATGACGTACGTAGGCCGGAACAAGGTTACTATTTATTCATCAGACAACATATTGAAGATTGTTAGTTATGAATCATTTATTTTTAAGAATACCTTCCGTTTTTTCTTAGTTAAGACTTGTCAAACGAATAGTTTTTCCTATAGATTCATCTAAAATACTAATTATTGATTAGTGCGAGTCATGAATTCATATTATTCTATTTTGAGAACAAAAAAAAAGAAGGCAGCTGTTAAGCTTATCATATAATAAATGCACATTTCTCTTTTCTTGTCTCATTGCTCTATTGCGGACATATTTGAGTAAGGACTTTGTTCTCGTTAAAGAAGGAAACATCATTTCTTTTTTTTTAGATAATTTAATCATATTCAATTGACAAATTACAATATGAATAAAATCGATATTATTTCAAATCAATTAATGATCTATGCTGGTATAATTATGTATTTATTTGGTTCAATTGGAAATATTTTAAATATATGGGTATTTACAATATGGTCTCGTTCTCCAAAACGATCACAGAAACATTATCGACATAGTCAAACAAGTAATAGTTCATTATATTTACTTGCATCATCCGTCGCAAATTTATTTGTTATTATTTATCCTCTATTAACACGTATTATGTTTGATGGTTATCATTATCGTGTAACAGACAAAAATGTATTTATATTATGTAAATTAAGATTTTATGTTTTACATACATTTGATTTAATATCATTGATATGTATTTGTATGGCAACATTTGATCGATATTTAGTATCATCAAGAAAAGTTCGTTTACGAAAATTAAGTACAAGAAGACAACGAACAAAATTAATTATAGTATTTATTTTTTTTTCTTATTGGACTTCATAGTATACCAATAATTCTATATTAT